GAGGTGTTGTTCTGAGCAAGGCATCCGAGGAAGGCGACGTTGGTGGCGAACGGGTCTGAAATCATCACGTTTGTCAACAGTCAACAGGCTGGGTGCCTAATTGCCATTTCTTTCTCAAGAGTGCGTCCTTGACTCTAAGATCCTCGATGCCCTTCAATCACGGCAAGAAGTAGCCGGTATTTTGGTGCGCACTTCCTAACCCGAGATGATAGCAAAGGAGAAAAAGCTAGCAGTCATAGGAAGACGTCGCCCTCCTGCATTATGCATTGGCTGGAGAAGCGGTTGGGGATGTATTGTTCGATGGAAATATGCCCAGCTCGCGCGGTCGTTTTCGCGTCGTCTTAGCGTCGTCTTGACGGGCGCGATAGGTAAATCGCTTCAGCGTTGAAGGTACTCGCCCGCTTAATTTCCCGCAAGGGTACTTAGGATGCAGAGGAAGTGGCATGAAGATGCGATCCTGGATTGATCAATGTCGCTGAAGCGGAGGGAGGTCCCCACTCAGGGCGAAAGAGCCGGTCGAAGAGTTTAGTGCCTCCCTCCAAGTCGCATGTACTCTGTCCGTGGCGGCCAGGAGTACGACCCACACTAAGGGACCTCGTCGCTCTTCATAGGGTGACAGGTTTACGCGAGCCGTGTGGTTCTTTCTTCATCACGGCTGGCACAAGCAAATTGGAACTAGTTTGGGGCAAGGCCCAATGAGAGGTAGCCTTTCTGTCGGCCGCCTTCCGGATAATTGAGGTTGAGATCGTGAGAGGAAATCACCCCCTTACCTTGCTCCCCCAAAGCAGATAGGTAAAACAGTGAACGAAATAAAAACGCGGATAAATCTTATATCCATGTCGGGCGGCCTCGAGGCGGAACTGGTGGGCGAGATTGCCGGGATTTCCTTGCCTCTGGGATGCTCAGGCGAGGAGAAAAACCGAGCCTGCGATTTTTCTTCGACCTGGACTTTTCAAACTTTGGAACCGCTCGCTTGACAGACTCTTGGGATAACAGAAATCCAGCTAGAAGGCGCAGCGATATTATTGCCCTGCTGTACAACCCGGTACATCGCCGCCAATCCACCGCTCCCATCAAGGGATTGAAAGGAGGAATAGAAGAAAGTCTTGGGAGTGGGAGGAAGGAGAGGCATAGATACAGGTCGAGCTGTGTTGTATCGAGGCGGGCGCTTGGGCATCTCGCTCTGGGGGGTTTTCTTCGATACTTGACCATTATTTGCCTCCTTCTCCCATTGCTCCATTGCTCTTTCTCCACCTAAATTTGATAGAGTGGGCTCCAGTCGCTACTCTGGGGGTGATCCCGTCTTTCTGTGCCAAAGGCCGATAGGCGAGTGCAAGGTAACATTTGAACAGACTTGTAGCCTAGCACAGTGACTTCAATGTTCTCGCGAGGTAAATTTGTACAAATATTCCATAGAGGTCCATGGGCAAATGCGACACAATTGCTCTATTAAGAGCAACAAGACAACTTTCGTCAGCACTCGACGCGTTGCCAAGTGTGAGCGGTCTTGTCACTTCGTCGATCCCGCTAAGAACTTTGAGCATGCAGGCTGACGGTGCTCTTGCGCTGATTTTTATTTATTTATTTAGTCCCGCCGCGTATGCTAGTGCTCCTCAGACAATGATCTCCCCATGCCCCCGTGTTTTCTTCCGGGCGAGGGCCGATTTTTGTCTCATCTTGCACACCCTCGATGAGTGGCAGGGCAAGCCTCGTGGGTGGCTCCCGGCTGGAACGGAGACCCGACGCCGAGAAGTACTAGTACAAAAGTCGTGGTTGTTTGAAATCCGCAGTCATGTGCATAAGACCCGTACCTATACTTCATGACAACCTCTTTGCGCATCAAGTGCGCGAAGTCCTTGTGGTACCCCCATCCCTCCTTTGCCACTTCCCCTTGGCCCCCTGAGTCTCAAGGCGAAGAACCATTTACAACACTCTCAACCTCGCTTGGGTCGTTACCTCCTGCGTGTACCCCCAGGACAACGGCGAGTTAAAACCTGCCATGGTGACTTGGATGGGAAGGAAGCTGGGGGTGAGAACTGCCGGAGCTTGTAAGAGGACCTCCCTCCTCACTTGGATTATTCGGCTGGGCCAAGTCATAAAATGGGCACAAGTGAACAAGACGAGCTTGATGTTCAAGTCTTTGGAGGGGCCACCGACAATGATTTGAATAATTTGATAGGGGGTTTCTCTCCTCACCAATGAATTGTAGCCTAGATTAGGTCTCTATGCGAGCTTCAATGCGAGCTTCAATGCGAACTCAATTCAGCGCAGCGTGGAGTCGAGCATGACCGAAGCTAGCTCAGGCACTTTTTCTATGTGGAGCCATCATCTTCTCCCTCGAAATCAACCGTGCGCCATCGCCCATGGCGGTATACGCTCGGATCTCAAAGGGCTTTCTCGTTTTCACCACATTGCTCTTGATCGGATGAATCTGGTCCCCATGTCCGAACTGCTGTTTTTTTTCTTGCTAGTCTGCCCATGAGCCGAGGGGCACTTCCTTCAGCTAAACTTAGGCTTACTATCAAGCCGCTTGATGCCATGCCATGACAACCTTTTCCGCCTATCTCTTCGCTCAGTTTTCTCAGTTGCGAGTCCTGCCCGCATCCTTCACTGGTCCCGTCGGATTGCTACCTTGTTCTATTATTCCAACTCCACATTGACCTCTGGGCCGCTCAACGCTAGTACGACGTCAATAGTCCTACTCAGCTCCCTTAAAAGGTCTATTATACTTCGTTTTCTTTCTTCTTACGATGGTGAGTGCATGTGCGGCCACCCCGAGCAGAGGGGCGGACTTTCCATTACATAGCACCATCCGTCCGGGCCGTCCTTCAGGATATGACCAGGGATGGGAGAGTGGAAGGCCAGCCGTGTGTACCGAAGGGCATCCTTTGTTGTTGTCTGTCCAGGGCGCTGTCAGGATCGACAGATTCGTCCCTAGCTTCGCGGCCTTGCTGGTGTCCATCGTCACAGCATGCACCTTCCTCATGCCCGTCTTGGCCCATAGAGCGCAGGTGCATGGTCTCGACTCTGTGATCTTGTGCATCACTATTTGCCTGTCCTCCAGTTCCAAGCATCAGATGGAGAATGGCGATTGTGTGAGAGACAGGGGTCACCGGTTCGTCTGACCCTCAGACTGCAACCTTATCAGACAGCCAACCCATCACCTCGAAGCTGAGGGCTCGACCGATGCTGTCTTGCGTACCGTGATGCCTACGTGCTTCCTAGTCGCGCAAGCTCTTATTACGCCATCTCGACGCCTTTCAACTTGCGCGATCTCGACCAGAGAAATCTTGAGGCTCCTGGCAAAGCTAAATGGGGAATACCAGGCACCATTGGTCTTGGTCAAGAACCCTGGCTTTCTCGAACCGAAGAGAGTCACCCGGACGGGTAAATAGGCGCATATTCGGGATCAAACAAATCTTCGTCGCCTACTTTCCTGAGCCTCACGTTCGGCTCTAACATTTCCGGGGTTTCTGCTTCCTGAATAGTGGCCTGCGTCGAGGCCGGCATCTCAAGTCCAGGAAATCTCTGTTGAGTTCCTTAACGACCCCTCTTAACAGGCAAGCCCCAGTCTCAGATGCTGCTGGGCTTCAGGCCTTGCCGCCGATCTGGCTCTCGTGCTCAATCATCTGTTCCCTGCTTTTCTGACTGGAAGCAAGCCCTCCGATCGATCATCCCTCTTGTGAAAATCGCTCCCTTTGACGCCGGAGGAGAAGAATGTACAAGTCAAAATCATTGACACCCCCCTCCTTCTACCTCGACTGGTGCCACCCGCATCCACACCCCACCCCCGACCCATGCTCCTTCAACCCCCCTTCCTCCCTCCTTCTCTCCCCCGGCCCCTTCCATTCGAGAGACTACTATCGTTCACCCCCTTCCGTGTCCGTGTACTTCTGGCCATCCTGGTCATGTACACTATTGTGCCGAGTACCTTGCCATATGGCATCCCCTGCGCACTCCTCAGGCCAGCTTCCGTAATGTGTGCTGTCTGCACTCTCCTGCACTGCATCCTCAACCTTCTCAACCCAGGTACAATGGTGGGCATCCATCTTACGCTAACTACCCCGTATAAGACGTTCTGATTATTGGCCTGCAATCCTCGTTGGGCTGTCCCTTCCTTTTCATTCTCTGCCGTCTCTCTCTCACACACGCCTCGCCTGAGAACCAGAGTCTCTCTTTTGTCCAGCAACGACGGATGGCCATCTATTCTCCGTGCACATCCTGGTTAGTAACTGCGACAGGCGGAGTGCACCTTTCCTCTCCCGCCCCTTCTCCCTCGCTACCCTTTAGTGTACACCTTTCGCACGCCACCCCTCCCCTAGGCCGGTAGACAATCTGCTCTTATATCCAGCCCCAATCCCGCGTTTTGCCTTGCTCATCACCACGTCTCAGACACGGCATTAGCTATAACATCCCCAAGACCTCGTCCTCGTACCTCTTCTTTCCCTTCTCCATCCCCAACTCCCATACCACAAAAGTCACCGTCTGGACTTTACTACTTGACCCTCTTATGAAACCCGGTTCCCTTTTCTCCAACGTTGCTGTCCAAGAGGGGTAGCGAAACATCGACTCCCAGCATTACAAGAACCAGGGACTCCCCACACTTAACCCAGTACTTCCTCTCTCTTGGGTCCTCTCAATCCAACTTCCTACTGATCTTCGATTCGAGAGATCTCGCTCAGCTCAACACCAAGAAGTCTAAAAGAAGGCCACTACCCCAAGGGTCTTGCTCCCTTCTTCTCCTCTTTCTTTGGCATCTCGCCTCAAACATCATTACCTTCCCTTCCTCTTCCTTCACCTGCGCTAGACAAACTCTACGACAGCCAACCTTTGTCTTTCCCTTGCATCTCAAGAGCTTGCACTGCCAACGTCAACTCTCTCTTGCAAGAGGAGCTTCTCTCTTGCCTCAAGTAGATCCGTCGACTTGACGGACACAGATCCAAACCTATCTCTCCCACGTCGGCCCTGAAGTGCCATCAACCCTTCAGCCCGCCAGGCTCATGAGCATCGCAATCCAAGCACCTCGCAGTTTGGAGCCTCTTTACTGCCAGGGATTATACAACGGTCGCCTTGAATCGACCTCGCTGGATCAGTCGTACCAGAACACCGGAACATCGCATCTCATGTCAGCCATGACTAGTGGTCACAATCCGCGCCATGCTTATGGCGGTTATCCGGCGCCCCAACCTAGGGCGCCCCAGTACGACCCCGTCCAGGCGTCGCCCTCGCAATTCGCTCCGGGCCAGACACCTCCAGCCCAGATGCAGCGATTGCCCATGATGACACCTCCCGCGCCGATGCCCGCCTCCTCGACCCCGACTTTGACGCAATCCCCGTCTTGCAGCAGGAAGCTGGCTCCTACGTGGGGTACTCTCCCACTTCTGAGCCCGCTTCTCCCACTCCTCCTTTCACTCTTACCATTCGGCAAGAGCCTGACCGCGCTAAAGTCGTTCTCGGTAAAGACAAAGGTACAGTAGTATATGATGTGTTCTTCGTTGATAGTTCTGGGCTCTAACGCGCACTCTCCAGACCGAAAGCCGGTTGACCCGCCCCCGATCTTGCAGCTCGAAGTTCCCCGCAAAACAACCACATCCTCCAAAGTGAGTAGCGCAAAGAAGCAGTGGAGAGTAATCTAGGTGGTGAGCTTGTGGCTAACCTGTCTGTGTGCATCAGGCCCTTACCACTTTGTCATGGCTTTCTTAATCGACGAAAAGGAAGACACGCCCGTTTCGTGCCAAAATGGCAACCCGCTCTTCGGAACACAAGTGTCGAGCCTGCACAAGCTCAAGGACACCAACAACCAAGACGGCGGATTCTTTGTTTTCGGAGATTTGTCTGTAAAGGTGGAAGGGAAATTCCGACTCAAGTTCACGCTCTACGAAGTTTCGAACGGCGAGGTTGTTCAGCTCGGCGACATCACATCCCGCGTCTTCGAGGTTTACTCGCCCAAGCACTTCCCCGGAATGGAGGAGTCTACCTTCCTTACCCGCTCGTTTAGCGACCAAGGCGTACGGTTGCGACTACGAAAGGACTCTAGGAGCATGACCACACGGAAGAGGAACAGCCAGGCCGCGAAACTCGCCGACCAGATGTCTCAGCAACGATATCAGCCCCGAGCACGCATCGAGCCCCCTCCCCCTTCAGCCTACGAGAGCATGCATCAGGGTAACGGCTGGTGGACTAGCCACAGCAGCCCTCATACTCCTGGGCCAGTCAGCGCCACCGGGCCGCCGAGCGCTGGACCCTATGGCCCCCGAGCCAGTCTGGAGGGTACGGCGCAGAGTCTACAGCTCCACGATACGGCCCGCAATAATTTAATACGGTCAATCTTAAGCTATCATGACACACAAGGAACGACAATACATGACATCGCAGCGGATACCCTAGGAAATCTTTAAAGAAACGGGAATATCAGGGGGTTGGCTTCAGGAAAGGCGGGAGGACAAAAAGGAGATCAATAATTTTCTTTGGGACGGGACGTATCACCCTCATATTTCTTTGGTTCGCATCAATACCCCTTTAGGTGGGCGTTTTATGGTTTGGGCCAGGAGCATCTCGGTACTTGCTATGCTTTGCACTTTTTTCTTTCTCTCTTCTTCTTTTCTTCTTTTTCCCCCAAGAGTTCTTACTCTATGATGTTGCTGGGGCATGCCGAAGACTAGGATCCTGTTCTAAACTTATAGGTGCGGGCGGCGGCGGTACGATTTCTTTCCCTTTCTTTACTTTTTCTCTTTTATACTTCTCTTTCTGTTCTCTTGATAAAAGTGGTAGACTTTCTCATTTTCGCTCTTCATCTCGTCCTAGCTTCCTTCATTAACCATACTTTTGCCCACTCCAAGCGGGTCTCTATATCTAGTATCTTATTCACTCCGTTCCCTCTATTCTTGGAAGTCTCTCTTTTGTTATCGAGAACATGGGTTCCGTTGGTTTGGTTCGTTTACAATTAGCTTAGGTGAGGAAACCCTCCACGGGGTCTGAGGAAAATTGGGCTTTGAGCATTTTGTCTTATCACTTCTTGTTAGTCTATTAAGTACAATATTGAAACCAATTACGAATCAAAGAGAAAGAAAACTGTGCAAGTAGTCTATAGCTATAGTCTCAATGCGAAGGCGTGCGAGGAAACCTTGTTGTTTTAGAATATGCCCCTCTTAGTGCCTTTATAATACAAGGCGTGTTAAGTTATAATGACGGCGGCGCGTTGTCCATGGGGTATATGGGTGATCGAATGTTTGGTTCTGTTAAGAAACAAGTCTCCCCATCCTTGTGTGATCCGCCGAGCAAAGGTCCAAGGACTGGGGGATATTGCGATCAGCATGGGGAGTGGTTCGCCGTACGAACTCCTTGCATTAACCTTATACACATGGAACTATCAGAGGCGGCGGGACACAGAGATGGAGAGGAGGGAGGGGGAAGATGAGGAAGAGGAAGAAGAGGAAGGACGCGGTCCGTGGAAGTGGCTTGCCTATCCTCGCGTGCACATCCCCAGGGCGGCTGGCCGGTATACTCAGCGTTACCCGGGATGTGCGTTCCTTGTCCCGGCTTGCTGTCCCAAAATGGAGAAGAGGCGAAGGAAGGAGCGAATATAGGACGGACGGAGAAAGGCATTGATGGGGGCTGGACAAGTGACGGCTCCAGAGACTAGTCTTCTCCTCGGCGTGTGCTCTTTCGAGAGCCTTGTTGGGTTTACGCGAGCTCGTCGCCCAAGCGGGGGCGGGAAAAAGCACATGGGCGAGATGAGATTGGCAAAACGGGAGTTGCAAGGGCTTTTTCTCTTCATTGTATAGATCTACGTGTATGGCTGCATTTACATTTTCCTTGTTTATTTTTCCTTTCGACGACGGATGGCCCGGTTTGAAGAGTCAAAGTGTCACCGTTTTCCTGTTATCTTCTTCTTCTTCTTCTTCTTTTCCTCTTGCTCCGCTTGCCTCCTTCAAAGTTACAATGACACGCCCCGGGGAGGCATCCGATGTGGTGTGGCTTCCTGGAAAATATCAACGAGGAGCTACACCTTGCCTTGGAGGAGAAATATCGTCCATTGCGACGACAGCTTGCATTAGAGCGTTTCGAGTTTTCCTCGGCCGCTACAGGTTCGAGCGGGAAGAACGCAATGGAAACACCCCAAAGAGAACTCCACTCGGCTTATGGATGTCCGTGTTGGCATAAAAGGGTGGAGAAGGCTCATCGTAAACAAAAGAAGAAAAAAGACCAATATCACAATCTTTGTTATCGTCATCGGCGATGCGACAAAAAGAAAAAGAAAGGGGTGTCTTACCGTGCCGTGCATGCCTTTCGTATGCAGGCGAGGACAAAAAGGAGGAGACTTGGGTAAAGAATATCCCATTTCGGGTATATCAACGCCCCCATTAATAGGAAAGGAGGAGACGGGAAGGGTCCAAGAGATTGCACACAGCAAAGGATGGGCCGCTGTTGGAGAATTTTGGCCTTTCTTTTCCTCTTCTTTCCTTTTCGAGTTGAGCCGCCCAACCACCGTGCGCACGCACAGAGAAGGCCGCAGATAACATGGTCAGGCGAGGGAGGAGAGTGGTTCTCGCGTCCCTGCGAGGAAAATGTTTTGAAACAGAGATGGAGGGGCGGGGTAGGTGGTGGTTGGGGTTGGAGCGGAGTCTGTAAATGTTTCCTGCAAAAGTGACAGTTGGAAATGCCGGCTACTGCGAGGTGCAGGCTGTGATCATCCGACCGTGACCGTACTTCCCGCGAACCACGGACATCCTGCCCGAACGTCAAGGACAAGACGCCAACGCAACAGAAGCCAAGGCAGAGATGGTACAGTCTTCGACAACACTGAAGAGATTGGCATCTCATACGAGCCCCACCCGTAAGCAGATAATGAGGAGTCGAGGTGTGGACGGGGTAATAGGGCCAACGACAAGTGGGCCGGTTTCGCGTTCTTTGCGCCTGCGACTTTGTCAGGTCTCGGGCCTTGCACCATGCGCACAAAGGCCCCGGTGCTAAGTCGTGCTTTTGCTTTCACTCATTTGCCCCAACATGGCACCGCTATCGACATCGAACTGTGCTACAGGGGGTGGGGGAGGAGGGTGTAGAAGGTACGTTTGCTGCTGGCATGGTATGTATCTACGCGATGTGCGTTAGGTGCTACTGTCTCAGGGGAGAATTCGCGTATGGGCAGCGCCAACAGGGAAGAAGGAGGCCAAGGGAGGGGGAGTCGGGACTAATGCGGGGACAAATCATGGGAGGTGGCAACCAAGAAGGGTCAAAGGCGGATAGGAGGGGCAAGGAGGGGGTATGGAAGAGACGAAAAGGTAACAGCTAGTGAATCGTCGCAAAATTTTGCACGGCGGGTGTAAGACGAGTATGGGGAAGGCGGCATCATGGAAAACTAGGATTCACCGGTGGAGAGAGGATGGTCGGGGCGAAGCAGAGACTGGTCCATCTGGATTCGGGTGCACCCTCTAGTGGTCGGGGAAACCGGCCAGAACCAGGAGAGGGTGGTTGGAGGAATTGCGGGCCATGGCCAAAATCATTGGAGGAACAAGCAAAGTTGAGAGTACGATGTATACCAGACCGGATATAGGTACCGCATGTCCTGGATGAGCCCGTACCAATAGGTTGAGGATTATAGAGGGGGCGGACGGGAGCTTCTAGAGGGAGTGTTGGGGCGAAGGGGCCGCTGCAGGGAAAGAACAAGTACAGGAAGAAAAGTTGGAAGAGGGGGGTGTCTCAAGGATGGGAGAGTCTAGAGGACATGGGAAGTAGACTTTGGCGGATGATGACCTCGAGCCTCCGGTGATGATTTACCAAACTCCAAACTCGGCTCCATGACCACTTTCTTTCTTTTTCTCAAACGAGGGGAGAGGGAGAGGGAGAGGGAGAGGGCGACGGCGACGGCGGTGGTGATACGCTAGGGGAGAAGATGGTAAGACGGGTCTGACTATTAGTCGTAGGACTATAGCAGAGGCTAGAAGCAAGGGGGTGGCCTCGACGGCTCGAGGCGGGAGCCTCAAGGGGCCAAGGGCGGATAAGAGGGCGTAGCTAAAGATGATTTGGAAGAGGGAGAGAGAGTGCGAGAGTGCGAGAGAGAGTGTGTGTGCAGGGACGCAACAGTAACGGGGTGGGTTGAAGGAAGGCAAGGCAAGGTGAACAAGTGAACCATTCACCAGGGCAAGAGGAAGAAAATCTTGCGCGGTATTGTTGGCCGACTTCGACCCGAGTTCAAGGAAAAGTGTGATCTGCTGATAAACAAGCCGTGTCCCTTTCTGCCACTTGGAGACCCCGGTACGAGAAATGGGTTGCGCAGGTGGCACTGAGAGGTACGGATACCATCTCACGAGGTGAGATCCAATCTCAACGTGAATGTAGGTCGCTAGAAAGGGGAGAGGAGGGGCTCCTAGAATAGTCCAGTCGAGCAGCAGGCCGGTGATCAAGATGAACTAAACCAGTTAGGCGGTGGATCGGCCGAATCGGGAGGAGCCCATTCTTTGCCACGTCGCGGTGGGCTATCTCGAACCATGGGAGGGTTGAGAGCCTGCCAATGAGGCCCCTGTTGAGGGGAGGGAGTTCTCGTTCTTACTGCCATGTAACGCCCAGGGTCCTCCAAGGGGCGAGCGGGAGGGCATGTAGTGGGCCGCAATATCTCTTCTTTCTTCAACTTTCAGTGAGGCCGAGCAGGAGGGTTTAGTACGTGACCTTTGTAGATAGATGATGAAGAGGAATGGGAGCTTGCCTCCGGTCGAGGAAGTGGTGCATGGGAGAAGGAGGTGAGGACCCTGGATGCCTCCGTCTACAAAGACAATAGGGAGCAATGAGGAGCGGAGAGATGGGGAAATTCTCGCGGTAGGAGGTGCATGTAACCAGAATTGCTCTGGTGTTGGGTGCTGCCACCTTGGCCATGTGGGGAGCAAGGGATGGGAGTGAGTCCTGGGGCACGACTCATGGTCATGGAGGCCCAAAGATGGAAGCAAGAGGCGGACGAGGGCATAAGGAATGGATGGAACAAAATTAGACGGCAGACTCCTTGAGTCGTGCTTGAACATGCTCAAACCATGCTAAGGTATGAGAGAAAAGAGGATACGAATAAATTCAGAAGAAAGAGAAAGGAAATCTGGGTCGGGGAGGCCGGCGTAGACCAAACATGTCGCACATCGGGGCCGCGTCAATCGCGAATGAGGAATAGCTTGTTCGACTCGTTAGCATAAGATCAGAGCATCGACTCGGGTGGCAAGGCAAACTTGTTTTCCAGGTAGAGTTAGGAGTGGCCACGAGCGTGGACGAGAAGACCCCTCGTCCCCCTTTTCTTTTTCCGTCTTTTTACACCCTCTATATGGTATGGGGCTCATTATTTGGTTGGATCCAGACTTTGAGGATTATGCAGGTGCTGTTATTCGCAATTGACAACGGACGACTCCCTCAACAATGATGTGCACAGGCGCGGAGCCGCGCCGCTCTTTGGTCCTGGGAGTAGAGCTGGGGGTGTAGAGGTAGAGCGGTGATTTCTTGCGCATCATCACTTCATCCGGTGTCTTTTTCTTTTTTCCGGTTTGGGCCATTTCCTGGATTTTGAGAGCCGTAACGGTCTGCGGGAGGAAGAAAACGGAAAAGACAAAAAAATTAAGGAGAAGGGAAGGGGAAAAGGGGGAAAGCTGGTCGGCGAGCTCAGTTTCCGGGAATTGACAGATCCAAAGCTGGACGAGCTCGCACTCGTCTCCATACCTTAAGAGTTGAGATGATCGCCGTGAGCCGGCCTCCACAAACAAGCCAACGCTCATCCTACCCCTACTTATCCGGCCTGGCCCCGTCCTTTTCTGCCCTTGCTATTCTGTTCAAGAGGATGGAGATGGGTTTCTCCCGGTTGCCAATCCCGCAAACTCACCCGGCGAAAGGGGTCTTGGAGAGATTCGGGGCCTGGGGGTGTTGATGAAGATTCGAAACCGAGTTTTCCCAACAGGAAGCGGGATGGCCGCGGGGCGAGATGATGGGGCCGGATTGAATACCTGGTTTAGGAACTCAGAATGGCGGAAGCAGGGAGGGAGGAAAGGAGCCACAAAAGTGGAAGAGAAGCGAAAAGCCTCTCGGTGAGCAGTGGGGAAGGCAACAGAAGAAGACATCACTTTTCGATATGTCCAGCAGATATCGAACTTCGACGTTTGAAGCTCGCTCCTCGTCGCGTCGCAGGTTTAAAGTTGACGTTGGTCCCGAATTAGGAAGGCTCGTTCACATTGCCAGAGGGTCCAATCTGGGCTCCTGCCGGACAGCTACGGCCCGGTGTGACAGGTTGCATCGGAGCTACATCCGCTTAGTAAACTTTTTCTTATTCGGTTGCGCATTGTTATCGAGAGGACGTTGGCAGCTGGTTGTGACTGGTCAATGCATCAAGCTATTCTAGGCCCGTCGTTACTCGACTCGTCTCGTCTTGGTGTCTGCTGCCAGTCAACTGGTTCATCCTAAAACTGGCAATCCTCCTGGCTGTCGATCACCACGTCAAGCCTGACTCCCTCAGTCCTCCATCTGTTTTTATCTCATTGATTTTTATCTCTTTTTTTTCTAGGGGGCGCGGAAGAGATTCCCTGTCATTCTTTTCGGCTGCACCGCTTGTCCCCTTTCCTCCGCGCTTGGCTAGAGAGCAACACGGGAAACCAGGGTCGTCGTAACTATCTTCGGACCCTGCATTGTCCGGGATTGAGGGGTTCGCCTGCTTGTCCTAGTATCGATCCTGATCTCCCCAACTGAAGGAGATGGAGGAGAAGACGGGAACTGCATTCCAAATTCTTTCCCTCCTTCTTCCATGCCGCCATTCACCCTCCTCCTCCATCAGTGGCCTGACATGGGCAGCTAACTCGCGACAGCAAGCCCTCGGCTGAATGCGCATCTGATTGACGACGGGGCAGTGGATCCTTAGCATGGTGTCATACCCCTTCACGTGGCCTCACTGTTTCGGGTCCGAAAAATGCTTTGCTTCTCAGTATTGTATCATTAATAGTACGAATTATATCCAACTAGCTATCCTTTTCGTCTCCTTTCAGACGGGTAACTAAGAGCCACACGAACCCGGATCCCAAGGGATAGAAGAGAATCCCAAAGGGAAGAGAGGATACCAACGCGACGCCCGCATGATCCAGGCAAAAGGGTCGGCCGGAACCGCTACACAAGAAACCTCCGCACCGTCCCCCGGCGCGGCAGTTGCTCGAGGGTGCCCGAAACCACGGAACCAAGTCACCATCTCGGCTGTCAACTTTGTAAATGTGGTGCAATGTGTTACCCGGATTAGAGGCGAAAATAGAGAAAGTAAAGAAGAGAGTAAAAGTAAGCCCCTTATTACCTACAGGGCAAAACAGAGGCAAGGTAGAAACAGGTCTTCTCGCCTCTTTAGATGGAGAATGAAGATGAACAAAGGAAAGATAAACTCAAAAGAAAGGAAGGCAGCCCGGCTTGAAGTAGACCTCGGCGGCGGCGGGCCTCCAACAACCCCCACTGTCATAAACATCGTGAAACTAGCCCTTCTTTGCCCTCTACCGCCCACAATCGGGTTTCATCTCCTCGTTCTTGTCCGATCACTGTGTGATAGGAGAGTTCCATTTGATGTCGACAAAGGGTATCGATGTGTCAACACAAGATGAACATTCTCGGGGCGAATGAGCCACCGGCGAATCGCTCGGGGCCTTCTCCGCCACCCGGCATGCTCCGAGATTGGGACAGGCAATTGCGAACGCCATGCCCGGGTTTAGTTGGTAGGTGGGGGCAGGCTGCGGGATTACCTACGGGCCTTCCTAGAACGCAGTAGGAGCCGCCCATGTTTTCGAGCCAGTTGAGGGAGTTGAATTCGACGTCCCAATGCTGCATCTGCCATTGTCCGCCCTGCTTCACCACCTCGATAATGCTGATACCCCTCACAGGCACGCCCTTTCCGAAGGTACCCTTCCAGACAATGACAATCTTGTTGCAGGTGACGATGGTGGAGTCATCTGCGATTTCGAGCAGTGCCGCCGGAGTCTGCGGGTTGCTTTGAGAGACAATAAAAGACGTCTTGTTGAAGGTTGGGGCGTTTTCAGGCTTGCCGATGAAGGTGTTGATGGACTGGCTGACATCTACCCAGTCGTCCGCCAAGTACTTGTTGGCGTCCTCGACGTTGAATGCACCGATGAGCCTCTTGTAGGCGTCGATGATTTCGTTGGCATCCTTTTGGGGAATGCAGCCGTGGCAAGACTTGTCCAAGTCGGTGTGCGGTCCCGGCACCGGATTCGCGAGGGCAGAGGCAGCGAGGCCGAGAAATGCGACAGTAAAGAAACGCATGGTTGTATATTAAGTTGGGGATGTAAGAATGAAAAGAGGATTGATGAGCTGAGGAGTGACCTGTTAGCTTGATGCAACACAATTTGGACGATTCGATACATATAGATATCCATATATATATATATATATATATATCGGCGCCCCAGCCCTCTCCCACCAGCCACTTACACGGTGAGATGTATCTGAGACAAGATGTTGTTCGAGTTGAAGAAGCGAATGTGCGAACGACGATACTGAATAAATGGCAAAACTGAGCGAGTGGAATAGTCAAATAAGGCTATGTGCGTCCTGGGAATGCAGAGTGTGTATTCCTGTTGAATAGTGAAGCGATAACTCTGGGAATAAAATGCGGTCGGCCTCGCCTTCTTATATCGTCACTTCCTCGAGCACCTTCAGCCCTCCACCCTTTTCGTTGCCGCCCATGTAAGACATTCTCAGATGTAGCCCAAGGTCTCCTGGATCCGTCTTCGAACCCTCCACCTGTATTTCCACCATTCCTGCAGAGCCGTTAGTCAATAGTCCACCCGCATCCAAGCTGTAGTGTGTACAGTCAAGCCCCGAATCACAAGGCGGACACCCGAGAGGTATGGGTGTGTGCCAATGGAGAAAAAGTCAAATGTAGGGCGGTCAACGTGCTTGAGGTGGTGAGACATGAGAGTACTCGCCTCAGCCGCAAAATATCGTCGTCGTCACTTTCCCCGGCTTGCTTTCCTGCATGCTTGCTTCTTCCCTCCTTTTCTCCCCCTTGCGATTTGTGGGTTCCGTTTCGTTCCTTTTTGGTTTTCCGCGCCAGAGGTGGAGACACATTCTCAATCTGGGGCAGAAGTGAATTTCGCTTCTTCCTAAGCGACCGCCCTGGCTTGATGTCTATTTGGCGGAGAATGGGAGGGGAGCGTTCAGGGTGGAACACGGTTTACCGGGCTGAAGGCGCCGCTCGATGCGAACGGACTACAGCCTCTACTAGTTTAGAGTCGTACATGCGAGTGATCCGAGCCAGGAGGGTGGGCTGAATCACTTGGATTCAACCCTCCTTTGTGCGTTCGTCTTGCGCTTATAGCCATGCTCATGTGCGCGTATCCAGTGGTTTTCCGTCGCCTTTGTCGCACAACGATTCCCGCCAGGTGGGCTGCCGGAAAGCTTCAATGCCGTTTAATCTCCCAGATTCATTTGCCACTGTCCCACAAGGCTTGAGGGGGGACTAAGGCCAGCTTCAGTGTCTATACCATCTGAATACATGCTTGTCCGGATGTGGCCACATTCATCGAGGGCCGCAGACGGTGAGCGATTGGGCGGCCGGACCAGCTCACTCCCTTCCTACTCCCGACTCCTTGGGCATCCCCATCCATAAACCATAAATCCCGGTCTACGAGAGAAAAACAGGGCATAAGCACCCGGGGTCGAAGGGGAATACCGGCGTCGGGAGCCAAGCCAGTTGGTCGTTCCGAGAACGCCACCCAACAAGCCGACGCGCTAATCCAGCTCGCTCGGCGGGGCAAGGACCCCGGAATGCAAAGAATGCAGGTCCTTCGATGTGACAGGCTCCATGCCTTGTGATACGCGACAAAGCTGGGGAGGATGGCGCGGTTTGTTGTATGCACGCCTGTCCAGTTCGCGAGGCCTTGCAGGACGAACTTGACATGACAAGCTCTGCCACAGCGAGAGGGTAGCTTTCTTGGCAGGCCCATCGTTCGTGTGAGGAAACCCATCATCGTCGTGGCAGCGAACGACCAAAGCCACAGACACACGTCGATGTCTGCATTGGGCGCCTGGAAGACGTATGGGATGGCCACGATGGGCGGTTTCACTTTGGAAGTGAATCCACAGGGTTCAAAGGGGGCGTCTCCAGTGCACCATGGCGGTCAGCCGTGATGGTTACAGTTGATCAAGCCTGTCACGTCCCCTTTGGCAGCAATCTTGGGCTGGCATACACTACAGATGCGACGGGCCGGCCTCGTCGGAACCGGTTCCCCTAGCTGTGCTGCTGCTCCAAGCCCACGCACATGTCTCACCTAGACCGCGTGCTGGGACAGACGGACTTTCGGCTTCTCCCCTTCCCACCTTTCCAGCAAGCTGGGCTCGTTGATCCGGAGGTGAGCTCATGTCTATTGCGTAGTGCGGCTCTCTGGTCTTGGACTTTGAGGTGGCGGGGCGGCCAGCGAGCCGGATGAAGAAGTAAGCCATAGGTGGGTGGGAGGGGACGAGGCGTTTGGGCAGGTCGTGTGGCGTATCGCCGCTAATTTTGATGGCTCCATTCTGAAGAATCTTCACGCTGGGAAGAAGCAAAATCAAGGGCTCAAAGGTGATTGAGCCTTGGGCAGCCTTGCCTATCCAAATATCCCCCCTTCTTGTCTTGCCTTCTTCGTTTTTCTTCGTGTGTCAAAAGGAGAAAGAATATGGCCCGATGACCGCCTTCGGAACGATCGACAACATGCGTAGCCCATTAAGTCTTTTCTCCTCCATCGAAGACAAGTATTCTGAGCACAATTGCACCATTTGTCTCGCATTCCCCATTTGTTTTCCTGGAAGAGGCGACTCTCGATCGGGGTATGTCGTGGGGTTGTCCCGTCACCGTCCTTCGAGGGCGTTCTATCAAACAATCGGCATCGACAAGCTCCTGTTTCCCAGCCTCCTAATAACCTTGGAGACCCTTGGGGAGAACAGGTTGGGGTTCTTGTCTCTTTCGAGGTAGAGTGAAGCTGTCTCTCATACACGTGTGGGTTCTCACCACCAGTCTACCGAGGTACATACAATATGAGGAGTACACTTGGCCCATAAAGATTTGATTGCTTTTTCCATGTCCCCTCCCTATTCCATAATCTTCAAGCTCCCTTTCATGATCTTTTGGAAGCATACTACCTATCATTATGTGGCAGAATGAAATATAATGTTGCCTTCGAGTCAGATCTCGCTTCTATTGGTGTCTTAGATGTGCTGATACGTGTTGGCCTTGTCCTAGCACTCTCGCATTCAAATAGAAAGGCCTTTTCTCAAACCACGTGCATTCTACCGTCGCTTCTTGACACCCAATCCGCACCCATTAATCTTTTTCCTGACTCTCGTGACGGCCAAAACATCGCTATCTTGGGAGGGGCCGAGGCTGCTACATACAGCCGCACCATTGGAGCTCGAAGCCCGGAGGAGGCAGGCTATTACGGAGCGATCTTGTTAGCGCGATAAACCCCTGCGACCCCCACCACGGCCGCCCGCCCTGAGCGGACGTCACCGGTGCTAGCTGCGGCGTTCAGAAGCGAGCACACGTACATATAGTTGTCCTTTGTAGTGAATCATGGGCAGGAATTTGGTATCGCCGCCTCTCGTTACATGGCACAAGGCCTTGTTATGTCTAATGTTGGACGCAGCGGCTGGACCTTGTGGACCTAGCTCACTTCGATGGTTTGCTGGACGATCGTCCCAACAACTTCCTCGCAGGAAAAGTAGCAACGCACGTATTCGGCGGCTGGAAGCCCGGCCCCGAAGACAACATCTACGCCGTTGGTGCCCTCCAGCCGCCTAATCTTGCGCCGCCAGAAATACACCAGGGTCTTGTCAGATTCCCTCTCCGCCCAGAACACCACCCTTATGTCGAGTCCCTTCCAAGTCGGGACCTGCTTGTTTTCGTATCGTAGAGACGCTTTAATGACTGCCACTCCCTCGTCCTCTGGCAGACGGCCGGCTTGTGTGACATCCATGGCCAGGATGGGGAAAACCTTCATCCTATGGAACATGGCCGTAGCAAATGGTACGTTCTTGCCCATCACCCGCTGCATATTCCATGATTCCATCTTTGCTAGCACCTTTGTAGTTGTGATGCCGGCCTCGGCCAGCTTTGCCCCCATCTTGGGTCCGATGCTCACGACCTGTCGAATTTCTACTCCCTGCAGCTCCCAGAACCCAGCTTCCAGGCATCGCAAGAGTTCCAGTCCACAACTCGTCCCTTCCCCATCTTTCTTTGAGCCGACAATGTCTATAGTGCAACGGACGATCCTATTGAGAACTTTGAAAATATCCTTCTTCTCCGCCATGAGCTCCTTCCGGCGGGCCTTGTGCAGGGTGGACGGCCACTCACCGCCACTTAGCTGCATCTGCGCGAGGAGAAACACTTTTTCCCAGCTCATAACAGGCGACCCGGTTGCTAATGGCCAGCGGACATCCTTGGAGAGGTTTATGTCTTTGAAGAAAGTTCGTTCCTCGCTCCGCATTACATGGCGACGTAATTCTGGTGCCCGGCAGGCTAGCTCTAGAATCCTCCGCATCGATGCATGTTCGGGGATTCCAAGCAGGTGAGAAATAGTTTCTGGACTCAGTATATGTCTATCTTTGAGAGGAAATAACTCTTCAGGGATCTCTCTGTTTGCATGTGACGAGATTGCGGATGAAGCTTGTCTCTTTTGCCCACTACCCTCCCCTCCATCTATGGTCGTATTTAGACGCGCCATAATCAGACACGATGAGACGGTAGAGTCTTTAAAAGGCTTAATTTAAAACCTGGGAAATGACTAGCATTCACGGATGGATGGATGGATGGATGGATCCATAGATGTTGGGAAATCGATATCTATCTTGGTTCAAAACAGGAAGAAAGAGAGCCTTGTTACCAGGTAGAGTTTGGATTAATCTCGAAGCTGACAGTGCTCTATCTGCATCATCGATACCACATGGGCGCAACTTCCTAAACAGCCTGGATATCCGGAAGGCGCGTCCCTCGACACTTCTATTCTTAACTTTCATTGGAGAGGGATCCACTTCTTCTTTCTTGAAGCTCGTGGTGGAAACGAGCAAGTGAGTTTAAGGCCATGGGTCTTGCTTTCCCCTCAAGCTTTCGGGTCCCGTAGTCTGAGAATGCTCGAAACTTGAGAGTTCAAGTCAGAAGAAAGGTAAAAGCTGTGGGATGAATCATTTTATTTTTCTTTCCTTTCGGATTTGCTAACAATAATTTGTTTCGTCTAGATTCTAACATGCTTGTGAAGGATGATAGGGTGTACGTACCAGAACCGTCTGTATGCGGCTCTGTAGGGCTCGGGCTACGTAGGGAACAATAGTGTGCCTTCCAAGATGTAATACGGCGACTATGGCGTAGAGGAATGGAAACATGAAGGTTTTCTCCGGCAGGCATACTGGCTTTCGCTTTCGACACAGAACTCACTCCTGGTGCAGCCACGCCCAAGGTTGAATTAAGATGGTTTGCACATGTCCGCAATGCGACCCAACCAACCGTCATCGTCACTCTTCTTCTTCTTCTCTTCTTCTTCATTATCGATAACTCCGACCGCCTTCCAAGCGTTCTTAACGACCTTGGCGGCTTCCGCTCCGAATTGGGACCTGGCCGCGGTGATGGTTGCGGTTGCAAACTCCAAGAAGGTGCATTCTGGTGACAGGTCACCCTTGGTCAAGGTCGTCCACTAAATCTTTCCGGCCTTTTCCCAAGAGTAACCACCAAATGCTGTTGAACAGAGGTAGAAGGCCTTGTTGGGGATCCCCGAATAGATGTGAACACCCCCATTATCCTCAAAGGTAGCCCTGTAGTACTTGAAATGGTCTGGCTGAGGATCCTTTCCCTACGGTTGCCAAGCTAAATGAGTACCTGTATCAGGGAACCCGGAGGAGGAAGGGACTTACAAATCTGGGATCATCGTATGCTGTCCCCGGGGCCTTCATGCTCCGAAGGGCAACGCCCTTGACTCCAGGGGCAATGCAACCTTCACCAACGAGCCAGTCAGCCGAAGCAGCATCCTCCTTTTCGACGACCTGCTTTACAATGATACCGAAAACGTCGGATATGTGCTCATTGAGGGCACCGCTTTGGCCAAAGTACAAAAGAGGCGACGTGTTCTCTGTGACCGCATGAGTCAATTCGTGCCCAATCACGTCTACACAACTAGTGAAGTTGTTTAGAAACTCGTCTCCGTCTCCAAATACTATTTGCAGCCGATCAGGGTCCCAATCTTGCCAGAGAACTTGTCAGTGACGTGCATCTGATGAGGAAATTCCAGGAAAGCGGCAGCGGCCGTGGTGCTTACATGCATTCTCGTAGTTCTCGCCAAAGTGTACAGTACTAATAATGTGCATGTTGTGATTGTCGACAGAATTCCAGCGGAACAGCTGTTTATAGACCGACAAAACACGACCCACATTGTCGTAGGCGTCGTTGACCGCTTTATCTTTGGTCGGCGGCTGGCTCTCCGCCCTCACCAGCGTTCCGGGAAGCTGGAACTCGGAAAACGAGTTTTGAGCGTCGTAGACTGCACGGTACAAGGAATGACTTTTCTCATCTCCATCTTCCGCGGCCGCGGTTCTTTTGCGGCTAGAGGAAGCGGTCCCTAATGGCGCGGCGTTAGGGATTAGAAGGATCTATATTTGGAAAAGTCCCTGTCCAACCTGAGAGAAGGAAAGGGAGAGAGAGTTCTTACCCTCTTGACCGGCTATCACACTAGCGTGGACTCTCCTGATGTGTGCCAAATCCCTCCTAGCACACACACGAACATTTTCGTCGACATCTTCTGCGTTGGATAATTTCCGAAGTATGTCAAGTGGAACGATGCTAGGCTTCACGGGCGGGCGGGATGATTTTTGATCCCAGCATGGTCCGTCAGGGCACGGGATCTGTCGTGATGGGCACTGCTTATCTTGATACGGCGGGTAAGTGTAGCTTCCGCAGCTTTCCTGATCGATTCGGGATTATGCTCAGATTCTGAAATAGAGCGGAGAAGGTAAGGGGGACGACGTAGCAGCGACGGTCGAACATGGCGAATTATCTGCTTCAAAGGATGTCTCACTAGGGTTGATGGAAGTAGGAAGCGGGTAAAGAAAAGGACAATGGGTGATGTTAATGAAAAAGGGTCGGTGATAGTATGGATGGATGTATTACCTGCGCAGTGGTATGTCAAGGCAAGAGTACTATTTCCAGGGACAATTGATGTTCAGGCGAGGAACCATTAAGGGAGAAACGCTCGTCAGCTGCCCTCCATCTCTCCATCTCCTGACCCCATCAGCGCTTGTCAAGTGCTATCTTCCGTCTATGTTGACTATAGCGACTTCCTCTTGTGTCATTTTGAAGATAAGACTGGCCGAATGTATCACTAGGGCCTTCCGTTTGTGTAGTTTGGAGGTCTCGTGTTTGGATTGCTTGAGGTGCTTCATACATGGAGGCTTGCACTATGACACGCTGATAGATGATGGTGGTTAAACAAAATTGATGCACACTTGAAATTCAGAAGTTTCTTGAGGCTTGTCAAGAATATCCGGGGTTTGTGTCGGGGTGGCGCCGTCGTCAAGAAGCTAGCTAGCCATTACAAAATAAGACGTCTATACCCCAAGTTCCCTGCCTACGACACGAAGGCCCTCTCCAAGCACGCCTAACACGGCTTCATCTCCGCACCTTCCTGCAACGCCGGCCGCGCCTACTAGGAGTGGATACACCCTCAGTAAGTGCTTTCTATTCTCGCTATCTACGTTTGGTGTGTCGGGGATAGCTTCGCTCTCCGACTTGAGTTCGGCTAGCCTGTGAAGTATGTGTAGCAGTTCCTTGCGCTGCGATAGCGGTTGCGGCATACGCCCCCGAAGAGGCTGATCTGCGATGTACGCACGAAGCACGAGTGCCGACCTGAGGATCAGATACGGTGCAGCTGTACGTGCGATACGTATTTGGAGCGCCGAGGGTGCCTCCTGGAGCCCGTCGCCTCACGAGCGAACTTTGGAGTTGGGGGCTGCACTACAATTGAGGGCGTGGCAGGGTCATCGTGCGTCGATATGAGAGAAAACAATTCATCTAGGCAGACATAGCTCATGCGCGCACGCTTTGCCGCGGCTGGTATTGCCGTTCGGCCGTGGCGGGACCGGTGTAAGAGAGTCGTGAGTGCATCTCCGCTGTTATTTGAAAGAAGTTTAATCTCCTCTGGCGAGGGCTGGTGGATGATGGAGGTTCGGAAAAGACTTTCCGCAAACGCTTTTCGGGTCTTATCCGGAATGATCTCGGATCCTAGTGACGGAATGATGAGGTCTCGGAGTTTGAGGAAGGCCTCGATGTCAAATGACTCGTCTGCTGCAATGTGCGCACCCTGGTCTGGCGCTCGATTGCAGTCGGCACTTACGATGCCACTCGAGATTTTGACAATCTCATGCCAAGTATTTTGAGTTACCTGATCCGGAATGTGTTCAAAATTCTTTAACTGCGAAAGTGTGCCTTCAAGTATGGCCAACACCGTAGAAGTAGCTAGCCTCCAAGGCTGCACCGATTTGGTGATGATTGGGAAGCGGTACTTCATGGTGATGGGTATTGCTAAAGTGCCAAGGGCAGACACGTAGGAACCGCGGCTATATATTCCCTCATCCGCAGAATTGCTGAGGATAAGGTCCTGGAGAATTGCCATGCTCGCCTTAGACATCGCCACAAATGTTCGCTTTGAGGCTGTTGTGGACGGCCGATCGACATCTACCTTGAAAGCCATTGCCACGAATTCTGCCACCTCGCTGACAACGACCGCCGGCATTCCTTTAACATTTACTCGAATGGCTCGAACAGCCTCAAGAATCTTGCCTTGTAGAGGCGTCATATATTCGATATCAGCGACGTAGGATCCTGCTGTCGCATGCTGCATCGACTGCCTGAGGAGCTTGAGCATGATATCCGCTCTTTCTACCGTCAAGTCCGGCTCAATCAACCGGTAGACGTCTTGAAGTGCCGAGACGTACGCTAGCAGGGTGTTTTGGTTATCTTGCTTAGACTCTTCGTCGACGGAGACCGGGATGCGACGACTCCAGAGATCCCACGAGAGGTCGACGCTAGCCCTGCTGAATGAAATGGTGGATTCTGCGCGGGTCTGTGCAAGGATTTTCCCCAAGGCATTGAACACAGCTGTGTTGATATCGAGGATATCGAAGTCGAGAAGCTTACGGAAATGGTCTACTAGTTCCCTCCAAAGCGAGTCAAATGACGCGTGTTGGGTCAAGGGTTCGAGGTAGTTGGCAACGAGGGTGGATATTCCGTTGAGAACCACAACTGCGGTGTCGTTCCACTCGCCTCGGCTACGGTCGTCCGCTTCATCCCCACTCGCCGCTTCTAACTCCTCTTCAATAGAGGAGAGCAGCTTGAACAATACGGATTCGATGCAGACAGACCAAGCCTCGGAGCTAAGACGCTCCCCATAGGCATCAAAGATTCGAAGTAGAGTTTGAATTGCACCTTCTCCCAGTCAGTATCAAGTATAAATGATCACGAAAGGCGGCAATGCTATATTTCGGGGGTAATTGGATCTTACTATTTCTTAGCTCTAGGCGGTCATCAGTCGTGACTTTGGTTAATCTGAGTAGTAGAAGCATCCATAGCGCCGCATCTGATACGGGCTGACCCGGATCAGATGCCATCTTTATTAGGTCCGAGGCATCTCGTCCTTGCATTAACTCGGACGTGATCGAAAGAGACTTGTTCTTTCCAGATAGAAAGTCGAGAGCACCCAAAAGAATGTGACAGTCTGGTTCAAGTTAGTACCAGGAGGATTTCCCCGAAACGCCTGGAAAACTTACTGTCAACGCAATGTTCAGATCGTCATCTTGCGTGCAAAACTCATACAAGGTGTCGACGAGTTTAAGGAAACAAGAGTTCGGAAGCGCGGTCAAGAAGTCTGAGCAAATAAGTTCAAGGGAGTTGAATGATGGCCGGATGAGCTTTGCAGATCTCGTCATCAGCACGGCTGCCTGAGTCCCACGGCGTTCAGGGAGCCCAAATTTTCTGTACACAAAGATGGAGCCAATGATCTCGAAAACGATTGTCCAACCGCTGACCAAGGCATCACCGCAGTTCTCGAGCATACTCTTTAGGCCGTCAAGAATTATTTTGTGAATTTCGATATCGGTCCCGTGATGCGCCACAGAGACGTCGCGGTCTTCGGCCTGAAGCGGGCGGAGGGCATCGCGTACTGCCTCGAGAAGCCTTAGTTGGACTTTGCCCCTGTCGTCCTCTTCTAGAGACCCTGCGACACTCGCCGACTCTAGGACCAGACGGATGAGGATCTCTGCTGCTCTTGTTCTCACCGAGGCATACATGCTAGACGCATTGAGCACCCGGATAAGTTCGGTTGTGAGAGGAGCCCATCCCGATTCATCGGGCGGGTAAGATAACAGTCTCTCAATGTTGACTGTGGCGACATCACCGAGTTTGGAGAGGGCCAGCATATCCTCTTGGGTTGGACCTGCAGTGGCAGGTGTCGAAACACTCAATACCCGACGATGCTGTCCAGCCCCTGGCTTCAGCGTGCTGGCTGTGGGTGGGGGAGAGGTGGAGTTGTGGGCGGCTGATGAAGGGGTCTCCGGCGGCCCGCTATCTAAAAGGTTACAGATAGCTTCAACTACTTCAACAAATGGCTTGTTGGGGAAGTCAACGGTGCTCTCAATAAGGCGTGCCGCGGCAGTCTCCACGGCCCGAATCTCCCCACCAAAGTTTTGGAGTAAGGCATTTGCTTCATTCTCAGCCTGGGGGTCTTGGCCTTTTATGGCGGTAGGAATTCTCCCAGGTATCTTTCCCGAAGAGAAGAGCACAAAATCAGCCTGCTGGAGTGTTTCAAGGATAATGCTCCACGACCTTCCGAGTAGGTCCGAGAGCGATGCCAAGGTTGAGTAGAGCCCTTAAACACAGCAGGTTCCGCGTATTTAGGGCTGCCGAGGCCGGGTCAACGGACGGTTGCCGATTCTTTTCAGAAGCCTGTGGATGTAAAGCAAGATTCTCTCGACTGAGAAGTCCTCGGGCATTGCTGAGGAGCCCACCGGCGGAGTCTGGCGCAGTTGGCGTGCTGGGGCGAGCCCCTCCCAGGTTCAAGCAAGCCGTGAAAACGTTGGGCGGAACAGCTGCCTTCCCAAGCGTGGTCAGGAACGCATCTCGAGGGGTGTTGAGGTGAAGTAGCCCGGCAACATGGGCAAACTTCTGGAAAGCCCTAACAAGCCCATGGTAATACTCAGAATCCAGAGCGGCATTGAGGAAAGTTGAGCAAGTGGCTAGGATAGCGGGCCAGCATTCGTCAATAATGGCGGCGCATATCTTGACTTCGGAGTTAAGAGGGTGATCCTCGTGCATGAGTGGGTTGACCGGCACTGGGTTTCTCTTATAGGACGGCGTTCTTTCTAGGCCCTTAGATTCTGGGGGCCATCTTTGGAGTTTGGCGCAGGGGAAGATCTCCCCGTGTCCTGCTTCGTGAGTTTCTTGCGGCCGCGCTCCCCTGGGACAGTCAGTGGCAGGATGAATTTGGCGAGACCTTCCGAGAGGGAAGATATACAAGCTAGCGTAAGGTTATAGACGTATGATTCCGGAATTGGGGGAGGCTCAGTCTTATCAAGTTGATCGATAAATGGCACACGCACTGAGCTCCACTGGACGGATATACCCGTGTTTCCTCCATCGGCCGAGCTAGAACCGCTAATCATGCCCGTGACTCCACCCGACTCTAACATGACATCGCCGGCGGTAGAAGAGTAAGGATTGGACACTGGGATAGTAGACTGGTGGCTGAGGCCGATTATGTTGGGCTTTTCCGTACTGAGGCGAACAAATGTAGCTGTCAAAGTCTTCAAAACCCCCTTGAACCCTCCTTCATGTCGTAAAGGTAAAAGATGCGCCGCAGCAGGGCAGGCTCTGTAAACACCCCCTAAAGACTTCCATGCAGAGAGCTCGCCTCCACATAGGGGCGTCCTGGTCAAGAAGCTGGGTGAGGATGTCGAGTGCTTGGCCACTCTCAACAGGCAGGATGTTGACATGCCGACGAAGAAGAGTGTAGAGGATGCGGACTAAGCGAACTGAAGTAGCAAAATTGGCTTTGTGGTTGAGAGCACTAATGATGAAAGGCATCACTCTGACACGGAGGATCTGAGCTTGCTCCGGGTGCGATAGGAAAATGGCTGCATGATTGGTGAGGACGGATTCGATAAGCTCAAGGCCAAAAGTCTGGGAGAGGCCTGTAAATCTTAGATACTCCGGTCGCTGATTTTCTGTCATTAAGCATAGATCGTTGAAGACCTGGAGAGATGATTAGTCCGAGAATAATGTCCTAGTCGCGAGAAAGACTTACTCTAAAGGCATCTAGAGCCGCAGTACGAACTTGTACAGTCCCATCAGCGACAGGCGCCTCCCCGACGAATGGAGCATCACCCGGCGACTCTACAAACGGCAGGTCAGCACGAATACTCTCGCCTTATCATGCAGAGGGTGGTTGAAAAAAAAAAGGGGGAGGCTTCATACTGTCTTCAGCCGTAACCTTGTCGAAAACTGACACCACTAGTTGCTGTAAAGTAGCCGCAGATGTGTTGTTCACGATTGCATTCTTGCTCGCCTGGAGGATGAAGCAAATATTCAGGGCTGTAACAAGCATATCACCCTTGACATCACTTGCATAGTTCTGCAATAGTGATGGGAGCGCCTGGAGGATCTTGAGCTGGACATCGAGGCCAGCGGACGTCGCCTCGCGAAGCGCCTCGAGGACTTGATTGAGCTTCCCCGCGGCAGAGCTCGCGCGACAATGAGGCGCTGGAGACAGACAATAGCGATACCAGTGAACTTGACATTTTTCGTGCCACAGGCGATGATGAAAGGATTCACAAAGTTGACGCGCTGACTCAACTCTATGGAAAATTACAATCAGCAGCTTTCCTCCGATGGGCTGGGCAGCCCAGACAGGTGAGGGGTGCCAACCTGCGACAGCCTGAGCTTCGGTGCTCCCTTGAGGCTCTTCAACTCCTCCAGTGATTTTTCGGCAGCCTAGGAAGACTGTCAGTGGATCAAAGTCAAGACAAAGGATCGCATTTCCGCTTCGAAGCGCAGCGCGACTGGGGCATGAATGGGACGCACTTGTCGAAGGTCATTATGCTTCCTCTTGCTCTCCTGGATGAGATTAGCGAGTTCGGACGCTAAGAGCTGAGTTGTCATCTTGTAACATTGGGCCAACACCCATAGCAGGTGCTCTGAACACCGCTTCGCAGTTTTACAAGATGTTTAAATTTTATAACCACGTATTAACTCGGTATAATTGGTCTGCGATCAAGTTCCATGAAGCTCGAGGCTTTCGTGTCCTTGACGACGAATCGGGGATGTCTTGGTTGTGGTGCCTGGTGGACCAAGAGGTGAGACCCGGCAGAATACACTCACCGCCTTCCTCAATAGGGAGCAACGAGAAGACTCCCACCAAGCTTGAGGGAACGAGGTTGAGGGAATCAAGTTAGGAGAGGAATTTGAGAATGGAGGATAGAGGAATATCCGGCACTTGAGGAAATTGGGTTTGTAGTGGTGAAATCCCCCAGTAACACAAAAATCTAATAGTCCTATGTAACCCTACCAAATGAGGAAGTTGAGATGTTATACACATAACGAGACACACGCTTCAGGGTGGGTTCTAAAGTAGGATAAAAATGGAAGACGCAAAAGATGATGTTCCAACGCCAGTGCTCCATCTATCATTGCCCTTTCTCTCTTCAGCACCGAGGCAACGCAACGATTCCAACCACCTTCAGAGACGACCTTAATTCTTAGCTGTTTGCTCAAACCCCTCGAGCATCGTGTCCTTGATCGACTTCTCTCCCGCGGACACTTGTTCCTGTGCCTCGCTCACTTGCAGAACCTTCCTTGCGACGGTCTTGGCCTGCGACTCGTTGACTTTGCCGTACACGCTGAGACCGGTGGCAATCATACCGCCGATATCCCCGACGTTTCCGGGGACGACGACAGCTGTGCTTTCCTTGGCGAGTTGCGCGAATGCGTCGACGTACTTCTCCGCCACGGACAGGCTCACCGCGCTTCTAGCGGATTCCTGGCCCTGCTCGATGCTGCTAGCCACGGCCTCGATGCCGGCAGCCGTTGCCTTGGCCTTCATCAGGATAGCCTCGGCCTCACCGGAGGCGCGGTTAATCTGCTCCGCCTTTAACGCCTCAGAAGCAAGGATGACGCTCTGCTTCTTACCCTCGGCGATATTGATAGCGGACTGCCTTTGACCTTCGGACTCGAGGATCTCGGCTCGTTTCGACCGCTCAGCCGTGACTTGGCGATGCATGGCCTCAACGACGCCATCGGGCGCGTGAATATCGCGGATTTCGTATCGAAGACAAGTGACGCCCCAGGCTTGCGCAGCCTCATTGATAGCCGCGGTGATGTTGGTGTTAAGGGCAGCGCGCTCCTTAAGAACATGGTCGAGGGTCAGCTGGCCAATTTCGGAGCGCATGGTCGTTTGGGCGAGCTGGGAAATGGCGTATTCGGCATCTTCTACCCCGTAGCTAGAAGGTAGAATCAGGAATGTTAGAAAGTGGATGCAAGGAGGAAGAAAACCTGCGGTGCCTTGTGCAGCCATGCCCCCGCTTCAGCCGAGGTCCAACTCACCTCGCCTTGTAGGCATCGAACACCCTCGTGTACAAAACACCATCGAGTTCAAGAGTGACGTTGTCGGCAGTGATTGCACTCTGGCTAGAATTTCCAACGCCACCTCCTTCAAGGACTTGACGTAGGAAATCCGGTCGAGGAAGGGGATCATAATGGCGAGGCCGGGTTGTAGAATCCTATTGAACTTTCCCATCCGCTCCACGATCCATGCGGTCTGCTGAGGCACGAACCTCACAATTGTATTGGCCGGGAGAGAAGGTCGCTGGAAATAAGTCGCAGGAACACCACCGAGCCCCCAGGTCCGGATCCGCCGATGGCCCGCTGAGCAGTGGTGAGGAAGGTTCGCTGTGCTGCCGTGTAAAGCGGGTACCGAGCCTGGCGCAACGGCGCCGACAGGGCACCTCTGGTGAGAGCTGATGCCATGTCGAATGGACCTCACTTGGTTCTTGTGTCAAAGGATGAGCTGGAAGAGCCGTCTTTGCGGATGGCAGGAGGAGGGCGGTGATATGACGTTGGGCCAATTCGTGTCGATTTTTTATTACCGAGCAAGCTGCACGAATTGCGAGGCTGTTAACCACATGACAATGCGTTAGAAGCCTCGCTGGGATTGGGCTGCGCCTTGAGCCCCATGGAGAGCTCTCTTCCTTACGTAATTGGTCTGCTCCGGAAGCTTCGATGGTCTTGGCTTCGCTGAACCACTGGAATGCACCTTCCACTTCCAGGAATTACCCGGGCCCCGCCAAACGAGGAAACTAGGCATGGGCGCAAGCAGCCACTCTCCTCCCAGTCTTTGATGTACACGCTCACTTTCCCCGCGACGGAGCAACCTGATCTTTGCTGTTTACTCACCCCGCCAAACCTCTCAGCCCCCATTATCAAACCAGCGCAACACAGCATCGTGCAGATCCTCGACAAAAGAAACACTCCAAAAACAGACCCCTAACTATCCCCCTTTTAAAAACGAAGCAAGATGGCCACAGCCAAAGTTCCCAGGAATTTTAGGCTTCTCGAGGAACTTGAGAAGGGCGAGAAGGGTCTTGGGGCAGGTTCGTTGATTTACACCCCGCCTTCCTTGACCTGCAGTCATCTCCCGAGAAGGCAGAATACCGCGCGTGTAATTTTTGCTCGTCATATACTGACTTTTTCTCTCTCCCTGTACTACAGAAGCTTGTTCTTATGGTCTCGAAGATCCAGAGGACCTCCTCATGTCCAACTGGAATGGCACAATCCTCGGACCTCCTCACGTATGCCTTCACGATGCGCCGTTTCCAGGATTCTGGGCATTGATCATCTATGTTGTCGACTCGGCGCACTAACCCTTTTCTTAGAGCGTACACGAGAATCGCATCTACTCTGTAAGGATGCACTGCGGGCCTAACTATCCCGACGAACCCCTTCCATTCAGTTCGTTAGCCAGGTCAACCTCCCCTGCGTTAATCCCCGTAACGGCGTCGTCGACCCCAAGCAACTGCCCTGCCTCACCAACTGGCAAAGGAACCACACTATGGAGACTGTTTTAATAGAGCTTAGGAGGTATTTTGGCTACCCTCCGTTGCACTTCCTTCCACCCCACGCGACTGCTCATGGTTCATGGAACTGAACAGGTACTCACTGATCATATAGGTACATGGCTTCGGCAACCAACAAGAAGATCCCGCAGCCTCCCGAAGGATCCGTATACGAGCAGGCTTAACTTGGAAAGGATAAATAGAGATGGCGTTCAATGCACCGTAGGTGGAACAGGTTATTGATGTTTGTCTACGTCGTTATGAAATTTTCTTACTATGTTCATCAATTCCATCCGGCATAGCCTCTTCATTCGCTAGAGAACAATATCAAATGCGGCTTCATAGCCTTGGTGACGATGCTACCTTAGAAGCTCGCCAGGTGCTGGTCGACCCGAGGTACAGCTCTGTCACTCTCCCATGTGATTGTCAGAGGAGACGAAATACTTTTCGCGCGCTCGGGCACCAAAATCGCAGCAGAATGCAGGGGAGTGTATTCAAGGGGGTAAATTAACAATGGCTGTAGGTATAAACCACCCATACTCAGATCCAGTCATCAACCGTTACGGGTCATTACAGAAGTGCTATATACACAGAGCTCATCCCCTTCGGGGTATACTTGTCCAATGCCGTTGGACCAGGCAGGTGGACTTTTGACAAAGAAAATACGTCGGCAGACGTGTTAAAGCGTTGGAGGGAGGTGGGGGAAAACGAGCAAGAACAAAAGAAAGAAACAAGACCACATTCCCACCCATCTTCTAGTCCTGGATATTATATCATGTGTGGATACGCATATGGCCGCCGAATAAGAATATGATAGAGTCAGGGAAAGGAATGAAATGGCAAAGGGGAGATTGGTTCCATTCTGAAGGAATCAAAACTCAGCCGTCATCACCCCACCAGGGAGCCTCCATGCCCGTGACAACGCCGCCCACGGCGCTAAGCCTCAGAGGCTTCCTCATGCTCCTGGGGATAGGGAACGAGAGCGGGAGGGTCGGGGAGAGGGGGAATCAGGTCGGGGGACCGAAAGGCCACCAACATCTTCCTCACCGGCGAGGCAGAGCTCATCTGTCCCTTCGTGCTCCTTCGAGTCCAATGAAGCGGTACTCGGAACGGCGTCTTTGGGCGTGGCCGGTGGCTTATCGTTGTCGCGGCGGAGGCTGTCGGTCTCGCGGAGCGAGTGAGCATCTTCGCTTCCGTCGTCGTAATCCATAAAGTCGCTCAGGTCGGGGCTCGGCTCTTCCTCGTCCTCTGCCTGGCCGACACCCTGGTCCAGGTAGAAAACGATGCGATCCTGAGGTGCGTCGGCAGGAGCAAACTCGCTGCCTAAAGTAACGTCGTGCGACTCTTCCGTGTCGGACCACGGCCCCGTGCGGCTTTGAGAGCGGGACAAGGACTTGGGGGTTCTCGATAGCGAGCGAGGGGATGAATCGTTGATCCCTTATCCGGCGTCACGGTGCCGATCGAGGACTTGGAGCCTGACTTTTGAATGGCCCTCACCGGGGCCATGTAGGCGGTGTCTCGTGTGCGCACCGACGACTGTCGGCTTAGCGTCTCCCCAAACGCCTCCTCCTCTTCTTCGAGCTCGGAGAGGGCGTTGCCTCGCATCCTCGCACGCTTCATGCGTAGGGCGGAAAGGAGCATCTCTTCCTGTTTCGTCACTGCCATGATAAGGCGGGAATTCGTCACGCTGGGAACAGATGGGGGCCGGACGTAGAACTCGACAGAATTCGGACTGAGAGGGGGCGTGGGCTGGTCAATGGAGCGGACAGAGTCGGTCCGCGCCAAGGTGTGAGCATCGAGTTGCCCGAGCGTGCTAGTGTCCTGGGTATGAGCAGGCGTGATGGTGACCACGCGAGCCTCCAGGATGGGTTGCTGCGTGGCCGAGCCGGCGCTCGAGGTGGACAAGGTTGACATTCGAGACGATTGAACAGAGGAGCTGGGGGTGGGGAGGTAGAGTGTGATAGGGAGCTCGAACGCTTCGAGATATCAGGCACGCGCGGCGGGTAGCGGCGCTGGGAATCGTCAGATAGGTGCTCTTGGGGGCAAAGAGGCGCGCTTCCCGGAGCCGGCGCTTGACTTTGAAGCAACGGATCGTCGCTTTTCGGAGAGTGGCGTCAAGTAGCCTTCTTCCCGGAAGAGTCCCCTTCCTCTTTCTATCGCCGTGTCCCGTTGAGAGCGCTGATCAAGGTATGCGTCATCCTCGGAGTCGGAGGAGAGCGATAAAATGCTATTCTGGTGTAGGTCGGAGTCGAAGATACTCTGTGTTGTTCGCTTCGAGGCTTTCGAGGTCCTCGTGTGCCGGCTCGAAACACTGGTCGCATAGTCGGCATCCGGCATGATGGCAACCCTGCTCGGCGAGAGCACTTTGGTTGGGTCAAACTGAGGCTCCGACGTTGGTGATGGCGGTTGAGGGATGGCCTGGACGGGGTTCTCCGCTGGCGACTCCTTGACAACCTCGAGTCCTGTGGCAGCCTCCATGTCGAAATCAGGGCCCATGACCTGCCTGAAAGACATTTGCTCATAGTGCTCATATAGATTGTGCAGATCGGCGCTGTTCGCCATGTGGTTGGGGATGACGGGGGACTCTGGCACAATTTGCTTCCGCGAAGCGCGGGACGCGAATTCCTGGAGCTTCTCCTGGTCGACTTCCTGGAAGCGGCGGAGGCTAACGTCGCTCGCGAGGACATTGGCGAGAGGGTCATGACGGAAGGTGAGGTTTTGGTGGGTTCGGGAGAGAGCATTGAGTTTTGGCTATGAGAGGTGGACGGCCGCCCCCTGGGGAGCAGATAGCTAAAGTCTAGACGCGAAGGTCTCTTCTTTTGCTTCGGGGGAGACATTGTCCCGTCGATATCCAAAAGGGTACTGGCTTTCGTGGGAAGGCCTTTGGCCATGGCTGAGGAAGAGGTCTGCTGCGATATCGACAGGGGAACTCTAGACTTGTCGTAGTACGACATGATGGTAGAGGCAGACTGCCGACGAGCCCGGAGACCCGAATAGTCTGAAGGATCATAGGTGTCGATCCCGTTATGGCTTCGGGTCCCAGTTCCGGGCCTGGAGCCTCCGACCTTGAGATAGGCGGGGACCGTTTCGGAATCGGCCTCCCATTGCGAGGCGCCTTTCGCGGGAACTTCGGTGATGGCGCTCAGTGTCTTCTCAGTTGGATGGTGGCTCCGGACTGTACTTTCTGACACGGCGATGCTGATGCCCGAGTTGGAAACACCATCCCAATTGCTACCCCCATCGATGTTTAAAGCGCCATTTCCGAGAATTTGTTGGGCTTTGGACCGGGGCGTATCCGGGGGTAGAGGAGAGACGGGTGCCGACCGCTGCTTGTTGCGGCTCGGAAGGGGAAGGTGAATTTTGATGATCGACCCATGGCTGTTATGATCGACAAGAGTAGGAGCAATGTGGAATAAGCACGCGCATCCCGAGGCTTCTTCTACTACTTTTTCGTTCGTTTCTGTTTTCAAGCTGAACGTATTGGGAAAAAGACCGGGAGACTCGGCTGGGTGGGTATATGAAGTTAGGGTCGGAGGTTCGGTCTCGGCACGGAAAGCTAGCGAGAGAAGGCTGCGCACTCGAAAACGAAGGGCACTATAGCATATGGCGATGCATGATCTTCCACAAGTTGTAGCGAAGGCGGGTTCGGCGGAGAGCGGGTTCGTGACGCTGATTTCAGAGACGGGCGGCGAAGGCGGGAGCAATTCCTTGAAGCACAAGCGATTGTCTCGCCAATGTGGCCTCCAAGCCAACTCTTGGAAGACTAATGCTTACACGGGAGACCCTTAGGGTGACAATGAAGCCCGTCGATACGTTCGAGGCAGCTCCAAAGCCTTGGTTGCACAGGAGAGGTGAAGCTAAAGCAGAGGTAGGAGAAGAAAACCTGGGTTCGAAGTGGAGGGGGGACATCGACGCCATAATATGTAAAAGGGATAGGATCGGTGGGTGGTGCCTTGGTGTGAACGGACCCTGGAGGTGGTTTCTTGCACATGAACGACCGAGACGGAACTACTACCTCAAGCGCAGTTTTCCACTTACACTACCCTCGGAGCGCGAGATGAGAGAATGGGGAGACAGGACAGACCGACCCCCCCAAGCAGACAAAAGTAGCTCAATCTAGTGCGCACCGGCTGCAGGCCTAATCTTTGGGGTACAGGTACGAAGTGAAGGGGTGCAAGGCAGTGCTTGGGCAAGGTCCTGGGGACCCCCGAAATTCCACTCCCTTGGCTCTCCGTCTGGAGGTACGAGCCAAATCCACCCTGCGGCGGTGGGGTACAAAGACCACATCGTCACACAACCCGCTTCCTGCCCCACACCCTAAAGCCACCATCTGCAGGAGTTGGCCAAGGCCCAGGGGTGGAAATGTTCTTTTTCGGGAAGTGTTAGTGGGAGTGGATGACAGACGGGGTGGGGTGCAGCAGCTGTCCCCGTCGAAAACGAGTCGAAAACGAGTCGAAAAACGGAGGAGCACTTGCACTTGAGGTATGAAGTAACTATTTGGGACACGCGGCGGGCGGTTTGCACTGTGCTTCCGTTCCTCTATTCAAGTCCCTCTCCGTCGACGTTGATCAAGCACAGCAGGACAGGGCCGGTCCTGATGGGGGCTGTCTGTCCATCCAGCCTAGGGTAGACCTGGCATCCCTCGGGAAAAGCAATAAAAGTCGAATGAGCGCCAGGGACATTTGATGCCACGAGGAAGAGCTGGCCTAGTGCAAGAAGAAAAGTCATGCCAGCCCACTACTCGGGATTTCTGAATGAGAAAGGGAGTGGGCCAAAGAAGGTAAATCTCAATCTCACTCAACCCCCAGTCCTTTGAGATGTAGACATTGACCACACACCCAATAACTATCAAAGCCAGGTCAGAGCAAAAAGAGGGACCTTGAAGCGCGAAACGCTCGGGAAAATAGGCGAGGTTTTGGTATGGCAAGACAGGATGAGGGAGCAGCAGCGCGCGCCGGCGAAGAACCAGAAAAGCAAATGGAAATGTCCGTGTCCCTCGTCTTCATGTTTATCTAGTGGAGTGTTGTAACTGTCTTCCGTCGAGTCCTCGGGAAGGCAATTAAGAATGTTTCTTTTTGTTTTTTTTTCCCCTTCCTTCCCCAGCTTCCTCAGCTTTCCCGCCCCTTTTGTTTTCTCTTTGCTTTTCCCATCCCTCAACCTCGTCGTCTCCTTTCGGCTTCTTGCCTGGCTGAATTTGCGAAAAGGTTGCATCCCAATGGCCGGCCCACAAGGAGGGGGCCCTAGTGCACTAGGGTGTTGACGATTCGCACTTGCAGCTGACTCTTCCAAGGGACCCATGGCAAGGACGGCCGAGATGATGGACTCCGACATGGCTCTCATTAATTTTTGCCAGCGCGTCCCCACCTTCTTCGTAGTCTCTCTTCGTGCTTGTACGTCGGAAGAGTCAAGACGTTGGCCGTAGGTAGTGATCTCGTCCCTTGGTGTTGACAAGTCAAGCCTACAGGTTCTCGCAGGGAGGCAAGGCAGGATTCGGTGCCTTGTATAATCAGCAGGACCTTCCAATCTCTCAACTCGAGGCTGAGTAACCTCCTGAAGTGCAGCTGGGCCGAGGGTGAGTGTCACCATTGTCACAGGAAACGGTGGGGCTCCACAGACTGGGTATCCTTGTGCTTGTGAGCGAAAACAAAAATCGTCATCAGACACCTGAGGAGGAATAATAGGATTTCTCACTGCTCACAAAAATGCAATCAATTTCTGGCAAGGGGTCTCTCCTTTTTCATCATGGGGCCCAGCTCAGTCACCAAGAAGGATCGAATATTGAAGGGGAGACGACGAACAAAACCCTCCCTCTCCGAGATCACCAGCTCTAGTGCATCTGACAAGGAATCCCTACCGACGATTCAGGTCTGGCCGAATTCTGTTCGACGCAGACCTGAAATGGCCGAGATACGTCAAAAGACTCCAGCCTTCTTCTCCTGCCACGATGTGCGTCATTCGCTTGGCTGGTGCGCTCCAGACCAGGAGTTAACCTAATTTCCCTCTATCCTTGCACCCAGACGATGGATACGAGTGGACTCTGGTTCTCATGGACTGTGTGTGTTAATATCTGGTGTATCGACCTAGAGCTGAATTCCAGCAGTCGGTCCACCCCATTGCTACGGATCAGGTCGCCCTGCCGGAGATAGCGTGTCTAGGTGGTTCCATGGATGTATCCAGTATGATAACCTGGTGGAGGTGGCTCGGGATCGGGAGGAACCAATTGCGGATGGAGGTGGACCTATAATACCAACGGCGCCAAATATCTCTTGGATTTCATGCAGAACCTTCAACGACTGGCGTCATGCCCTTACCTTGATCCTAACCCTAGAATTGTCGATATAATTTCAACTATACTCCGCTCCTCCACACTTTGTTTTCCGTGCGGGCGCCTCGCCTTCGTACATGAATGAGCAGCCGCTTGTGCTTATCGGGCACTCTTGAAGCATTAAGGCAAGACCGTCGATGATCGGGGAGCAGCGATGGTACCAACAGGCTTTCAGAGCTAGTCTGAGCCGTGCAAGCCGTCGAACCAACTCATAATCCGCCCTAAGACTCTAGCCTTCCACGAGAATGGGAAATTATCATTACTGCCTCGTTCTACCTTGGTCCAACACGTTATATTACCTTTCAACGTAAACTACTTCGTACCATCCTCACGGGATACCGTGGAAACGGTATAGCCGTGCCTAGTCCGGGAGCCCCTAGTGGACGCCCGAGGCGCTTGGGAATTCAATCAGTGCACTATTCTCTAATTGCACATTTGCCTGTGGTCATTGGCTTCTGACCTAATTAGGAAGCCGAAGAAGTTGATGCGATCCATCGTCGTCTTCGAACTAGTGTAGCGTACTTGTAGAGGAAGTCAAATGAGCGGCCACGTGCGTACATGTAGCCAGCGGCGAGATAGCCTCAGTATCCTTCCCCAGCTGCCCGATTCTTCCCAAGTGCAAACGCGACTAGCTGCCATGCCGGGGTACGAGAAGGGGCGGACAGGAGATATTACTACTTGCATGTCCAAGGTTTCGGCGACGGCCTTCCCTTCCCTTCAGTCAGAACTCGTAAACCAACCCCGAACGACGCCACATCGCCACGCTAAGCTCTGGAAGAAGGCCTTGAGGGCGTACAAGACACACTTCGTCTTCAAGTTTCGGCAACCCTCACATCAATCGTTGATCCGTACTAGATCCACTTGTATTGTTGGTCCCCTGAGAACCCCATTTGGGGCCACGCACCTGCCCTGTTCCCAATGCGCTTCTTATCATTCGTGTTGCGCGCTGGTGGCTTCAAGGAACGACAGACAACACGGGCCATTCTTGAAATTTCCAAGTGCGCAAGACGCATCTCAATCGCGGTCGGTGCACGCACGTGTTGCAGGAACTTTTAATCTCGAGGCCAACATTCGTTTGTGCATCACGGACCCCTCTCTAAATTACAACCTGTCCAAACGCCACGCCGCGTTCCGTCAAACGGAGTGGCAGGTACGCGAACCTATCCTTTTGCATGTAGTCAGAAAAAGAGAAAAAAGGGCCAGAAGGAAAAGAGCAAGAAAAAAGTTGGCACGGTGGTGAGATGCACACAATGCACTTGAGCAATGTCAACAGTCGTTGGAGAGGCCGCACGGACAATCAGCCACCATCTGCGTTGATGTGCAAGGGAAGCTCCCAGACGGGAACCCTGAAAATGGAAGCAACGTCTTTTGCGCAGACCCGAAGCGGAAGGATCAATCATGATAGGGTCTACTCTTTTTTTTTTTTTCTTGCGGTCAAAGCCTCGCCTCAAATCATGACGAGAACGGGGTTGCTTACGCACAGGCTCGAAAATCAAGCTTCCTGCCATCCCGTGTGGGAGAAAGTCGCGAGGGCTCGGGGCTTGGATTGAGGGTTCAAAGAGCCAAAGAGCCCCCTTGACTGTGCTGTTGCGCATTGACACGCCGATTGATTCAATACTTGGACAGGGTTCATTTCGCAGTGGTTGAGCCTGCCATTTGTGGAATTCCCTAAAATTGCGACCCCAGGTCTGTCCCACACTTTTCCTGTCTGTCAAGTCTGTCTTTCTTTCATCCACGAGCCCACCTCCTGCCAAACCAGGACCTGTCCTTTTCTCCCGTCATCCCCTGACAGCAGTGGTTGAACAGCAGTGGTTGGCTGCTACTCTAGGCATGGAGTGAGGAGTGGACGGAACACGGAGCGCCGGCTTGTGCTGGGAGTTCCGCGATAGACGTCCAACCTTGCCTGGGATGGCAGAGGTTGAAAAAAAAAAAATGCTGAAAGATGGTTCGCTGGCTACGTCGCAGCGCAGTGATGATGTTCAAAGTCAACCAAAAGCCAGTGAGTCTATCCATGTCAGTCCTCCATCTTCATCACGCTATGTTCCAGATCGACACTCCCGCTGTAACGTTGAAGGGGCAGGGAGCGGCACAGGACAAGGAGACCCGTGCGAGTGCGTTGGAAGAGGCAGGACTGGACTGGACCCCGCCCGGGCTCTAGTGTTTAACAAATCCAGGCATTACAGATTCCTGGGTCAACGGCGAATGTGTTGATGGAACGGAACTCTCGCAAAAATGAATATTGCGGCAAGACCTGGCTAGTCGAAAGAAGAACGGTTTG